TTGTCATTTAGCAGACGCTTTTGTCCAAAGCGACTAACAAATGAGGACAATAGAAGCAATCAAAACCAACAAAAGAGCAATAATTTACAAGTGCTATATTAGTGTATTATTATAGTGTTATATTTCAATTTCATAAAGAAACGTACAGTATTTTGTCCAAGCAATAATAAAAGGACACATTTAATTTATAATTTGTCTTAAATCTCATTTTGTTTATTGAAAAAAACCGCGAATCGAATCGTAAAATCAAAATCAGGAATCGAATCATGAGTTGAGTGAATCGCTATATCCCTAATATAGAGACATTTATAAAAAAATTTAAAAAAATAGAGAGAGAGAGATTGATTAAAGTGGTCAGAAGAGAGAAAGATGTCAAATTTGCCATTGTGCAAATTTAGCAGTGTTAACGTTTTTTTCTTCTGGCAGAATGTTAGAAATGTGCATACGTTTTTAAACAACAACATAAAAATCTTTGCTAGATTTACATCAATAACTGGAAATGTGTCATCACAGTCTGTAAAAGGGTCCATTATTTATTCTCAGCTGAAAGGGTTTTACAACACTTCTGTTATTCATCCAACTGGGCTAAATATTGGTCTAATGTACTTGGGTAATAAAACAATTGTATTTGATACAAAATGGAAGCATTTAGTGCATCAAAGATGGTTATTGTTGTGTTTCAACATTCCTTGGTGATCGCTTCTGCAAAATCTCAAATTTCACTCTCTAACTCTTCCTGTTATTAATGTACTCAACAGTGCCTTAAACCATTCTTCTCTAGACACTCCCATGCTTTGGAAGACATTACATCCATCCAGATAAAGCCAACAATGCACAGAAAGTGGGAGTGGCACAAGAACAGAGAGATTTATGACTTCCTCATGACTTTTTTTTTTATAAGTCATATCAGATTCGGCATTATAATTCAACTTGAAACAGTTTGATCTAATACCCTGTTGATCACACACGGACACTTAGGAATTTCCCTTTAAGTCTGAAAGGCTAAAATGCAAGTCCATGCACGCATCCTGTGGAGCTTTGAAAGTCAAGGCAATGGAGAAAATGCTTTCCCTTTTCAGTAATTCATTTCTAAAAATAAACTGAGGGTTGGTGTTTATATCAGCCTGCTGACTCTCATGCTTCCTCTGGTTGGCTATCCTCAAGACATCTGAGAATACAACATCAGCTACATAACAGATAGCTCTTTAGAAAGTGAGGGAAACCTGAAGTTCAACATCATTACCCGAGGAAAGACTACACCCACAGGTCTCAATGCAAAATTACACTTGTAAAACTACTAAATGATAAATACTGTCAAAATATGACCACACGTGCAGCTCGATATCCGGGAAAAGGACTCTGAGGAGGTTCTTTCAGCGAATCAAAAACACTCAAGAATGAGTGAAAGCAGTTGAAAAGTATGCCATTGTGTCCAAAATGAAACAAAATAAGATCTTTTACTGTGTTGTTGCATCTAATTATGCTTCTAAAACCGGTTATTCAGATGCTGTCATCAGAATAACCAGTTAGATAAAACAACGTTAATACAAATGAATAAATGATACGTCATATATTTGTTCGTGTTGCGTGATATATTATTAAATCGAATGCAACAACAATATGAATCACTGAAAGCTATTAACTAAGTCACTAAAAAGTGTAACACTCATTTGTTGCATTTAGCCTAGTTAATTTATAACGTATTATATATATATATATATATATATCAGTTGTGTTGAAAATCAATCATCAATTGACATCAATACAGCTGCATTTCTTTCCAAATATATTTCCTCTCCAAAAGTACTAAAATAATCTAACGTTAATGAAAACGGACTCGTAAAATTCCTAATCGTCTTCGTTTCGGTTTTGCTCTTTTACAACCAACACGGATTAATAATCACAAGACAAATTTGTTTAAAACAAGAAAATGAAGAAAAAAATGGAAACGAAAAGATCAAGCCAAACTGTCGCAGTTCATCACTGAATGTAACGTTACGCGCAACGTTCAACTAACGTTGGATCGTCAACACAAGTCAGATGACATTTGCACGATCGCATTATCATCTTCTGATGCGGTTTGAGAATCATTCACGAATAACTTTACAATGCATGAATAAATGAAAGATGCAATACATTGCATTTTATTAAGAAGAGTAACAAATAATGGTTTAATCAAGTATGCATTTGTACACTGTATCCGGGTATGCTGCTCATAAATGAACGTGATTATTATGTACCTTGCCGAAGTGTGCAGCCCAGTGTAGAGGAGTCCACCCGTAGAAAGAGTCCTCCACGGCCAGCTGATCTGCGCTGCACTGGAGGAGCAAACACAGCGCGCCCACATCTCCATCTCTGCAGGCGCGGTGAAGAGGGAAGCGGATATTTAGCACCTCCTCGCTGGAAAACCCAGACTCCAGGCCCACCGACATTAATGCAAAACACAAACCCTCGCTCTTATAAATACGTGGAAATAAAAACCGTCACAAAGATGGTGGACTTCACGATGTCTGCTCTCATTAAGTGCACCGCCCAAACAAAGCGTTTACAAAGGGGAGGCGAGACGAGACGAGACGCACATCACACTTGCGCGCGGAACCGATCTTCACACAAGAACCTACAAAACCCAAAACGGATCAGTTGAGAGTCAGGACTGGAGCTACGCATGACTGCACCCAAAATCCCGAAACGGATCACTTGAGACCGACACTGCGCATGCCTACTACACAATAAACGCAGCACAAAACCAGAAACGGATAATTGATTCAGACTTGAATCTAGCCTGCGCATGCCCACTAAAATAAAAAGGCCCTCGTAACCAGAAACGGATCCCTCGTGAAACGCGACTGACGCTGCGCATGCTCTCTACAAAATAAACGTACCACAAAACCAGAAACGGAGTCCTAGAGGATCCGGAGGATGGAGTAACGCATGCGCACAAGCTATATCTGAACGTGGCGTGGTGAAGAACATGTGAACAGTACCAAAACAAGAACGTCAGATGAGGAAGTATACATACTTTAAATATTCTTATATCTGATTCTATGCAACATGGTTATGATGTTATCCTATTTTGGGGGAAAAAAGGGCGACTACTTCTCTTACTATCTCTGGGATGTTTAACTCTAACTTACTAGTAAGACATTACAGTAATAATATTCCTTTCCCTGGTTACTAGTTGTGTAACTAATTACTAATACAATTTAAGTAATAATATTACAGTTACAATCCAAAAAAGGCTACTTTTGTCACAATTGCTAATGATTTAAAATTCAATTATTAAAATCAAATTCAATCAACTTCATATAGCGGCTGGAAATACAGCTATTATTTTAATTTTGTCAGGAGAAAGGATGACAAACATCCATGTCACATGCAAATTGTTTTGAGTAATGAGCCCAACATTGGCTATTATTACAATACCACAAAGGATCTCCTATATGAAAACATACAAATAACGTTTTATAGCTATTAAGAATTAATACACTTTTCAGGGATTGTCATACTAAGCTGCTGTTGCAGATTGACTAATTTTGTATTATGTAAAGGTATTTGCATGTATTTTTTAACAAATGTGTTTGGCAAAGGAGGTATGAAGTAAAAAAAAAAAAAAAAAGAAGCTTTTAAACATAGTACGAAGATGAGTACTAACAGAAAATCTTTAAAAATGGAACACCTTTTGCAAGTTTCTTCCCCATTTGATTAAAAAAAAATAAACCTCTTGCCAAACCACTTATCATCTTACCAACCAAAACCAAGTCCAGACACATTCATGTATTTAAACGGAGTGAATAATACAAAACAGAAACAGTTATAAGTAAAAATGTCATGTTAGTTTAATACGTAGGATAGCAAACTATATCTAAAAGTGACAGCCACTTTCAATTATTTGTAATTTGTCCCACATACTAAATAGGGATTGTGAGTTATTGACAGAAAATAAGGTGTTAAACAGCTTAATGCAAGGAGAACATCCACTATAAAGGTAGAGCATTTGTTTGAATACTTGAAAGTGAACATTTTCAAGCAGACCAATAAATAAATTGCAGCAAGTAGTAAGACAGCAATTCATTCATAAAGGGACAGTGTTATCTCTTGGTGGGTTATCAGATACAAATCTAAACACTCGCAAACATAACACACACATCTAAAGACATAGATGTTAAAAAAAAGTATGACGTGTATAGAGGGCCACCACCACACACATGAAAGTGGAGAAGTAGTTGAAACTGAATTGCAGAACTACAAAGAGGCACTTTAAAATAAAAAGGAAAAAAGGTGCTCAACAATGCACTTCACTTTTATTTAATATGAGTAGCATTGCGACACAGACCTTTAGGCCCAATCCCAATTCTACCCCTTAGCCCTTCCCCTTTCTCGATTCTCTTTTGGTTGGAGGGGTAGGGGTAAGGGGAAGGGCCAGACAGCCCTTCAAACGAAGATTTTTCGGGACCACGAAAATTAGAGGATCTAATTGTGCAATAATCATGCTGTCTAATCAGCATCTTGATATGCCACACCTGTGAGGTGGATGGATTATCTCGGCAAAGGAGAAGTGCTCACTAACACAGATTTAGACAGATTTGTGAACAATATTTGAGAGAAATAGGCCTTTTGTGTACATAGAAAAAGTCTTAGATCTTTGAGTCCAGCTCATGAAAAATGGGGGCAAAAAAAAGTGTTGCGTTTATAATTTTGTACAGTGTAGTTAATATCAGTAATATGCAGCATGCACGATACAAGGAAATGGTCATGTTCATTAAATCTAGCGTATGATTAAAACGATGAGTGGGCCCGGTGACGTTTTGCTTGACTCCAAAAGAGTTTATTAGGTCAGTAAACGCAAGTCCTAATGCATCATTTGTATTATCAACGTGAATGTTAAAATCTCCGACAATTAGCGCTTTATCAACAGTAACCAATAGGTCTGAGAGGAAATCTGCAAATTCTTTTAGGAAATCTGTATACGGCCCTGGTGGTCTATACACAGTAGCCAGAGCAAGAGATACGATAGATTTCTTTTGCATATCTGACAGTGTAACATTAAACAGAAGTGTTTCGAATGAGTTAAACCTGTATCCTCTCTTCTGAGTAACATTGAGAATATCACTATATATTGTTGCCGCCACGACCAGTCTGACGGGGCGCATGCTTATAACAGTAGCTTGGTGGAGTAGACTCATTTAGACCAATATAATCATTAGGTTTTAGCCAGGTTTCAGTCAAGCAGAGTACATCAAAACGATTATCTGTGATCATTTCATTTACAATAACTGCTTTGGGTGAGAGTGATCTAATGTCTAGGAGCCCAAACTTTAAAAATTGTTTTTGTTCATTTATTTGACATTTTTCTGGTTTAATCACGATCAGATTTTTTCTAGATCCTGCATTAAATTTATATTTTGACCTCACTATTCGGGGAACAGACACAGTCTTTATAGATTGGACAGCACAAGTACTTCTATCATTTAAGCGGGTAGAACACAAGTCATCAGGGCAGTTATTTGAGATTTGACTTACTAGTCATATGGAGCGTAGCGTCCTGGAGATGTTGTCCGACATGAGTTCCGCTCCGACTCTGCTGGGGTGCAGGCCATCAGCGCGAAAAAGCCTAGGACGCTCCCAGAAAAGATTCCAATTATTAACAAAGAGCAGTTTCTGTTCTTTACACCATGACAATAACCATTCATTTAAAGCAAAAAGTCTACTGAACCTTTCATGTCCTCGTCGATACGTGGGAAGCGGTCCTGACACGATGATCGTCGTCGCGGGCGATGTGCGGCGCACCGTCTCGATCAGGCTCCTGAAGTCCCTCTTCAGTGTCTCCGTCTGCCGCAGCTTGGTGTCGTTAACCCCCGCGTGAAGCACGACCGCTCCGGTGCTCTCGTCGCCCTTCAGGATCGCGCTCTAATGCACACCAGCACACCAGTATAGGTGTGTGTATTGTAAAAGCTAGACGACGTATGATGATGTGTGACGGCATAGTAGTGGTGTCCCAATTCTTAGGGGAATATTTTCACCCCTACCCCTTGACACTCTGTTTCAAGGGACAAGGGAAGGGGTATAAAATAGAATTGGGATTGGGCCTTAGTCTTAATAATGACCATGAAAAAGAATGGATACACATGTAGTTTAGCTTTCAAACAACTTCTTGAAAGCGCTGCTTATCTCCTGGATCATGTCAGAGGTGGTGGTAGATCTGCTGTGTTTGTGGAAGGCCTGGCGATTACATTGCCTTGTCAGAGACGTAGCACCGAATGCAGCTACCAGCGAGGGATTCATGCTGGAAAAAAGGAACATTTACTATTAAACTGAAAGTGATGTGCAATGACACATTAAATAACTACTGATAATGGAGCCACTTACCCTTTAGTTGCATCTGGAGGTGAGCTGAACGCCCAATGGGCGAAGACTCCTAAGGAACCCGAGAGCAGATCTCCCTGTCCTCCACACCGCCGCCCACTGCCCTCTTGACTACAGGTCAGCACTGAGAGCAGGTAGACAAGCAACATGTTAGAGACAGAAAACGGTGCACCGGAACCTTATGAAGTCTGAATGTTTGAAGAACATCACTAACTGTTCTTTCCGTCAGTAATAATGTCCTCCTCCCCCTTCAAAACCAAGGTAAGGTGGCCCATGGCGATGGCGAGTTGCTGAGCACTTCTCTTGTGGTCGGTGCTGTCCAGAGGTTCATGATGCTGAAATCAAAGTTTGATTTAGCATGTATACTGCAATTGTATGTATTAGGTGTCTGTTAAGGTTTTTGTAATTGTTTTGATTTTTTACAACTTTTTTAAAATGGCAAAACAAGGAATTTTCTAGGACAGTGGTTCTCAACTTTTTTTTTTTGACTCCAAGGCCACCCTTTATCCAAGACAATATTCAAAATGTTGAACATCATCTTTTTGTTTTTTGGAATTTTAATTAAAATTTCTTAATACAAGTACATTGAAATAATTTTAAGTAAGGTTGCAAAATTCCGGAAATGTTTAAAGTTGAAAAACTTTACAAGGGAATCATCTGGTATTCATGGAAATAAACTGGAAACTGCAAAATTACAGATTAGGGAACTAATCTAACATGTACTGTAGTAAAAATAAAAAATATGCAGCATAGCCTTGGTTAAAACAACCAGATTTAATGCAAATTCAGTTGAATTTCTATCCTGCACATTCCTCACATGCACAAATAATTTCTAGAATCTGCACACTACAGCAGGACTACTGAAGTCAAAACTACTGCATTTGAGCAGTCAAGTAAGTTTTGATGATAGTACTAAAGTAAATATATTTGATCTATTAAAGTTTAACTAACAAATTCTAAATCAAAATGTGTTTATACAGCAGCTAACTAGCCAGAAAATGAGATGTGCTAAACCTAGCTCAACTGTAATGCTGTTTCTTCTGCTAGCCAGTTTTCTGTTATCATATAAGAACATAAGGTGTGTCCCAAATCGCGTACTTATGCACTATTCTATGGTGTTCTGTAGTATAAATAGTGTTCACACTGGAAATTCCAAAAAGAAAAAGTGCACTTTAAATACCCGGATGATGCACTTAACCAAAAAACGAAGTGTGGAATGTTGGACACTTCATGCACTCAACTGTCGCAGCCTTAACGAAGTAGCGAAGGGGGAGGGGCTATCAGACTCCGATTATTAATTACAAAATGACCTTAAATAATTCATACACTACATGGTTGATTACATAAAAGTGCACAAAGTGTATAAGTGCATAGTGTATAGTGCGTCA